AGTCGGACGCTCGTACCAACTGAGCTAAAGCAGCAGTACGTGGGCCAGAGCGGAGTGTTGCGTACATATAAGCCATCATAGTTTCCTCTTTCGGTTTCGTGTTAATGGAGCAGACGAATCTAGCCTTGTCTGAAGGTGCTGCCGTGTGGTGAAAGGCATTGAGCCTGATACGATGGTGTTGATGCACATCTTGACTGCTATTTGGCGGGTGTGCAGCACCTCTCGGGCAACTCCGAGATAGGTAGAGAGGGAGGCGGAGCGCGGGGCACCGCTCAGGCACCTCTCAACGTGGGCGGATAAGCGGAAGGACCGGGCCTGTACGGCGGGCGGCGCGGCAAAGCAGCCGAACCGAAAAATCCATGCCTTTGGCTCGGAAGCTTGTCAGGCACAGCTAGCCTGCCCCGAGATCCGAACGCCTCCAAGGACCCCGAAGCTCGTCCGACCCTGCTTTACACTCTTACCTCCTCCTCATCAGCACCGTCACTCGCAACATCACCTGGCTCGAGTCGCCCTTCTCGGTCAGAGCCTTTCCAATGCGTCCAACACGGCACTTGGCATCGCATTGAACCGAATCTCCCTCCGACTCTATCGTCCCCCCTCAGCTACTTGCCTTGGCCGCCATGTCGTCGGCCGACGCAGCCGACTATGGCTTTAAGCGCTTCCGCGTGGCACGCGCATGCGTCGTGTGCCGTCTGCGCAAGACCAAGTGCAACGGAGAACAACCCTGCGATCGATGCAAGGCGCACTCTGCCGAATGCAAGTACGACATGATCGAGACGCCCGCGCCCAAACGCATCAGCCGCACCGGTTCCACATCCTCCCTCCCCGCAACCACCGCTCACGAAGCTCCGAGCGACCATGGCTCTCCCGCAGACACCGCTGCAGAAGCGCGCGCGTCTAAGCGTCAGAAACGAGCCATGATCGATCAGATCGCAGACAGGCGTTGGGGAGACCGCCAACCGTCGCGCTCCAGCTCGGCACTGCGCAAATCCGGTTACGTCCTACACCACCTCGAACTGTATGCCTCCATCGACCAGGACGAGCCGACCGAACCGGATATGGAGCTGCATACCGAAGACGGCATCCGTGCTCACGACCAGAATACGGGAAATATGCAGTTCTACGGCTTCACCTCCAACTTTAACTTTCAGCATCGACTCGCCCAGACCATCGAGGCGCTGCGTCTGCGCGAACAGCACCAGCACGGCGCCCACTCCCGATCGGCATCCAGTGCAACGGCTGACCCAGCGGCCGACAAGGCGAGGAGATCGTCTCAGCTGCCGGAAAGCATGAAGATCTGGGGCCACCAGGACCTCATCTTCCGACAGAGCCTTTCGGAGAAGAGCTTCCCCACGCTCGATGGATCGAAAGACGCCGTGGGCGACTCGACGTTCCTGCCGCCGTCGATCGTGGATCGCTTCATCGAAAACTACATGACGCTCATCCAGCCGCAGCTGGGCGCGGTGCCCAAGCGCCAGATCCTCAAGTGGGTCAAGGATGCCAAGGCGCAGGGCTACCTATCGCGCGGCTTCCTCGGCGTGCCCTCCATGGCAGCCTCGGGTCCAGGCTCGCGCTTACACCTTCCGCAAACCACGCCGGGCCAGTCGCCGCCCATGCGCACCAACGAGCTCGCGGCGCTGTATGTCGTGCTGGCGCTCGGAGCGATGATGGACGAGGGTGATTGGGTGGATGTGCATGCGCCCGTGCCCATGACGCGCGAGGGCGCCATCGCCTGCGCCACTACGCTCTTCCTGCTCGCAAAGAAGCGGCTCGAGGAGATCGTGGAGAACTCGAGCATCCAGAGCGCACGATGCCTGCTGCTCATGAGCTTCTTCTCGCTCCAGTGGTCGAGTCCCAACGTGGCCTATTTGTACATTGGATACGCAGCGCGCATGTGCATCTCGATCGGTCTGCATCGAGAGACGTTTTACTCGCCCAGCAATCCGCGCAGCGCCGAACACCGCCAGCTGTGGTGGACGTGCTACGGCATCGAACGTATGATCTCCACGTGGTTCGGTCAGGCATCTGCCATCCGCGATGACGACGTCTCGGCACGTCTACCCCAGCCGGACAACTCGTACGACGCCTACCTGCTCGTCTATGCTCAGATTGCACGTGTTTGTTCCGACATGTCCAAGCTGTCGGCGAATCCACCTGCGAACGCGCACGATGTGCTGCTCGCATCAGAGCGGATGGAGGCCGAGCTGCTGCGCATTCGCCGCGATGCACCTGCCGAGCTGGGCGTGGGGCTGCGCGACGGCTTTGCGCGTGATGCCGACGACGACTCGGACTCGTCCGACCTGGTAGTGCGCCGCTACTCGGTCACGACGCTGTGGTGGTATCTGCGTCTGCTCATCCACAGCCCGCTGGTCATCTTTGCGCTCTACTGCCGATCCATCGGCACCGACATCCCGCGCAGCGTGCTCGATAAGACGCACAACGCCGCCCGTGCAGGCCAGCAGATCATCGACGCCATCTCCAACGCCCGCTCCGACGTCCCCCGCCCCGGCCTCGACAATATGCGCTTCGGAAGCTTCTACCTCGACTCGGCATGCACCATCGTTCTTGCTGCGATCCTGTGCGATCCGAGCAACCAGGAGGTGGCGTTTGGATATCTGGCCGCCATTGACAGGGCGATCAAGTATCTCGAGAAGAAGGAGCGAATCTATGCGGATCACGGCACTACGGCGTCGCTCCACAAGGCGAGGGATTTGGTCGTGCTTGCGCGTCAGGTCGTGCGTGCCGCTGCGGGCCAAAACGCTTCGTCGCGCGTTAATGATCACAGCGCCGCGCGGAACCGATCGGCTGCGCACGCAAGTGCTGGTAACGGACACACAACAGGCACAGGTTCGACCAGCGTTGGTGCGGCGTCAAGCGGCGGATCGGGAGATCTGGCAGGACGCGTATCCCAAGCAGGCAACGGCCGGCTAGCTTCCACGTTTTCAACGAGCTCAGAGCGCGGTACTGCCTTGGGTGAGGACGGTGGTCAGGACGAGTACGATCGTGCGCAAGCAGCGACGCCGCGCGCGCTCGGCAGCAGCATGGGGGCTGAGAACAGCTCGACTGATCTGCTAGCAGGTGCGTCCTCCTCCAGCGCATATCGCACACACGCAGCAGCAACTGGCATGACACCGGCACTCGAGGCTACGCCCACACCCGATGCGGGCAAGAGCTTTGCACACGAGCGCGACGAGTGGATGTCGTACTTCATGTCGAACTTCGACTGGCTCGAGCCGCTCAATGCGTCGTCCGCCCCCGCACAGGCGGGTGTGGCCGCTCATGGCGATGCGGGCGCAATGGGGATGTCGCCACCCTCCCATGTGCCGGGATCTTTCGCAGCGGGCACAGGCAGTGGGTACGGAAAGGGATATGCAGGCATGTCGATGGGAAGGATGGGGACCGCAGGGTCGCCTGCCATGAGCTCGCCTGGAAGCGCGTCGGGGCCGGCATCGCTGAGCGAGCTCGATATAGGGCTGCTCATGGGTGGCGTGAGCGTGATGGAGTCGATCCCTGGCGCCAATCCTCCTTTGGCTCCTGAGAGTGTGGCCACCACTGCTGCCGCTGACTCCTTTGATGCATAGAAGTCCGCGGTCCAGAGAATACCATCCATCCAACGAGCGATAAATTCAAGGTCTGCATGGGTTCTGACCGCGTGGATTGCAAGCTGAGCACATCTGAGCGTCGAGCCGGTGAGGCTGTGTTGCAAACCTGAGCCGCGTGGTGGAAAGGAGGGCAAGGCGAAATGCCAAGCCTCTTGTGCTGTGCTGCATTACGCGTGCACCGGCCCGCAGTTGCGGCTGTGCGAGCCGAAGAGCGCATGGACCCTCGCGCCTCCACTCTGCCCACATCCAGAGCGGCTGAAACCGACTGCCGTCCTTCTCGCTCACCTCATCTCGTCCCCTACTCGAGCCTTCAT